TATTGGAAGGGGGGTTAGATAGTGCTGTCCCATTTCTTTTGTGATGCAGTAGGGTGAGTGAGCATTGTCCTCCTGGGACCAGAAGTGTGTTGCTGGCAGAATCACAAGGGGGAAACTACTGAAAGGAATGATGAGCTGCAATATATCACATTTCTGTTTTTGGGATTTAATATGCTTTAAGATTATATGCATGTTTTGTTTTTTTTTTGCACGTCTGCTAAAAACATAAAAAGTCTATGTTCTGTTTACATGTAATACTACTGGTGTAACTTTCCTAACCATGAATTATCTCCTGCAATGCTATGTAGACTGAATGTGGGGATGTGTGGAAATCCAGCCTGGGCTCATGTATTGTATGGCTCTGTACCTGTAGCATGTCACAGATCTGAACTCCACATCCTCGTGTCTAAATTCTAGATGTCTGTGATCCACTCTGGAGGATGTGTGTATCAAACCAAGCACTGGTCACATTACTGTATCTTTTTTTAAAGATAATTATTTTTTATTATTGTATCTTCTTGCATCTAAGTGATGCTGTGCTTATTTTACTGATGGCACTGGTGTTCTCAGATTGTGACTGTTAGTTTAGTGACTATTGACAATTGGCACGTTTCTCAGGGGAAAATTACCGCATGTCAACATTTGTGACTGCCGGTGTCCAGCATCCTAGTGAGCTCACTAGCACCAGGCATACTAGTGTGACGTTTTATAGTAGAGTAAACCCAGGTTTATACTATTGATTCAGAATCGGTTCGATATACTGTATCTTATTTCTACAACTCTCATTATTTGGATAAACTAAAAATAAAGCAACAGGCAGATATCTCTTCAGGGAGGGGGGTGTCTGTCCGTCATGCTTTCCAGCGTCTTGAGCCGATATGATACTTGCGCAGTGGTGAGGACAGCAGTACACAGGTATTACTTCTGATAACTTCAGTGGAAGATGATTGATGGGTTTGAGGTCTCTTAAAGATGTAGATTTTCAAACATTTTGGGGTACAGGTATCCTTTGTCATGAGGCCAGTCCTTACCCTGTTCTCAAACATGTTGCCAAATCTGTGTGTGATGGCAATTCTTTTTCCCCAGTCATCTTCCAGGACAGCCATCGAGATATAGGCTCCGCCTGCCTGCAACAGGAAACACATCAACCACATTAAATAAATAGACTCCTCCTTCCATCCCAAGTCAGTTTTTTTGTGTTTCCGCCGGCTACACAGGGACATCGTAATGTTTGTTATTTTTAGGGCTCATGTTTGTTTGCCTTTGGGCTGAGCCTTACCCTGCTAGGCATTGGGACCTACTCCAGGCTTACCTGCTGCAGTGCCTACAGGGATTCCCTATCGGACCCCCACCCGATTTCTGGCCAAGGTTCCCTTCCATCACTCAGGGAAGGCAACCATCCTCCTGCACGTGAGTAGGCACCAGATGGTGGCCCCCCCTGGTGTACAGCAGTGGCAAGGTGTAATAACCTGGAGTGTGCTTGTGTCCTATTGTGGACAACTGTCTGGTGACAACAGGGGCAGCAGGAAGAGGTGTACGGGGAGGCTGGAGGCAATCCAGGGGTCCCGGATACCTCTGCAGCATACAGAGCACTTACCTGATGGTAGGGGGAGCGGTGTCAGGCGTTTGGCAGGAAAGTCCTGCAGGCTGTGGTCCCACCCTAGGAGGTAAGATTTGTCCTCACTGATCCTCTCGATGGCTGTCCTGGAAGATGACTGGGGAAAACATGAGTTGATTACCTGATAACTCTGTTTCCAGGAATCTTCCAGGACAGCCAGTCCCCGCCCTTGGTGTGTATCCAGGTGGCATCCGTGGTTGGATGAAGGAGGGGATACTTTTGTGCATGGGGTAGCCTTCGGTCCTAGAGGTTACTGACTTGGGATGGAAGGAGGAGTCTATTTATTTAATGTGGTTGATGTGTTTCCTGTTGCAGGCAGGCGGAGCCTATATCTCGATGGCTGTCCTGGAAGATTCCTGGAAACAGAGTTATCAGGTAATCAACTCATGTTTTTTTTTTTTTTAAACCTGTCCAGTGGGTTGAATGATGCGAACTGTCATTTAACCCAGAAGACTGAGGGCATCTAGTGAAAGAAAAATAATGCGGTGGACAACTCTGGGTTGAGTATTGCAGCCGTGCCCCAACTTTTCTGGACTTGGGCTTTAAGCGCAGTCCCAAGACTGACAGGAATACGACAATTATAAACTGTAGAAATCATTCTGCAATGCTTTGACGTTTGCAGGTTATACTGCAGTACTTTCCCTTTCTCTTCAGAGCACTGCAACACTTGTCTCAATTCCCTGGTGCCTTGTCAATTTATAATTGTCGTATTCCTGTCAGTCTTGGGACTGTGCTTAAAGCCCAACTCCAGAAAAGTTGAAGGTTTTTCCTTGCAGTGGGGCTGTCCCTGTACTGCAGGATATAACTGCTCTTTTATGCCTAGGGGAAAAAGATGTTTTACTGACCTGATCCCTGCTGCTAGACAGGTCCCCGTAGCCTCTTTGCTCCAGGGGTCTAAGGACTGTTCATGTCATCAAGTACAATGCAGCCTCTATACCTTAGTACATGAGGATGCTAAGGGTGAGGAGAGTGGGGATCAGGTACGTAAAACAGCTTTTTGGCCACTAGGCATTAAAGGAGAACTATGGGGTAATTCTTTTCCCCATAGTTCTCCTTAGGGTAACGGGAGGACACAAACTAGCGTCCTCCTGTCACCCTAGGCTCAGTATACCGCGAGCTGTAGCTCGCGGTATACCGAGACGCCGCAGCTTAAGCGGATCCCGACAATTGTGCCGGGATCCGCCCAGCTGCGTGACTGACAGCTGGCTCCCCCCCACACCTCCTTACTACTTCTCCCCGCGTCCCTGTGCCGATTGTGGATGTGGGTGGGCGGTGAACGTGAGGCGGGGAGGGGATGCGGCGCGTGGGTGCGGGCGGATCTGGCGAACGTGAGGTGGGGAGGAGGTGCAGCGCGCAGCGTGTGTGGAGCCGTGAACAGGGCCAACCAATCGGAAGCCGATTAATCGATGATTGAAAAAGTTGACAACTTTTTCAATAATCGATTATAATCGATTATGTCGATTAGTTGTTGCAGCCCTACTATGAGGTGAGTGGAAAGCACTCACCTCATAGTTCTCCTTTAACAATCAGTTACCGCTTGCAGTTTGGGGGCAGCCCCACTGCAAGGGAAAACTTTTACATTTCCCTGGAGTGGGCTTTACATGAAAAGGTTGCAAATTGTGAGCTTCAAAACTGTTACCAAAATTGTGATGACCCCCACAGCACACTAATGACATTGGCATAAGTTGAAAAGCAGGCCACTTGTGTGCAGTACTAACTTATAATGAACAATGTATCTCTTCCTGTTCTGCCATACAGATAAATGGTGTGTGCAAAACATGCCCTTTTGTAAGCTTGCCTTTCGCTGTGTTTACCTCTCAGTATCCATTAATGATATTACAGCTGAACTCCAGGCAGATATTAAACAAAGATCATTAATAAATAATGCATTTTAAATGCAATTAGAATAAGTATCGCAGTTCGACTTGCCTCTTGCATTCTCCTGTACAGCAGCACTCAGACTGGGTAAGGAATGGGCAGCACTGGGAGCCGGTAAGGTGCAAATGTCATGATGTGGAACATGCTGATGAGAGGGGAGGGCAGGGGACAACCTTATTGGTCTAGTGCTGTTCCTAGTCTTGCTGCAATCTATAATAGTAACAGCAAGATGTTATCCACCTGGCTGTGATGTCTGGAAGGGCTCTGTAAATATCCGGACAGAAATACAAATTCTTTGGCAGGCAATTTGGCAAAGCAATTCCCTTATGTAATTCATTAATCCTTTGCCTGTAGTTCAGCTTACTTCCAAGCTTCTGTCTTGTGCCAATGCGTTTCTGTAGATGTGATCAATGAAAGGTGACCAGACCTCTTAGTGACATTATAGGAATAATTGATGTAATTGCTCTGCTTATATTTCCTATGACACACGTGGGACTTCTGATCTCTCTGCAGCACGTGTGGAGGGAGTACATTGTGGGTGACAGCCAGATATCAGATTAGGTCTCTGACTGTTCTCTGATCATAAATCATTCACTTCATATTGCTTTGTGCTGTACAAGGTCTGATATTTGGAAGGACCTTTGTCAAGTCTCTGATGGCATCATCGAATGTTCTGAGCTACTGACTTGGGATGGAAGGAGGAGTCTATTTATTTAATGTGGTTGATGTGTTTCCTGTTGCAGGCAGGCGGAGCCTATATCTCGATGGCTGTCCTGGAAGATTCCTGGAAACAGAGTTATCAGGTAATCAACTCATGTTTTTTTGTATGAAAGTTTGTACACATATTTACTAACCAGCTTAATTTAGTGATGGTAATGTAGCCTAATAGTATATAAATACTGCTTGTTGACTGGACTGCCTTTACAAATGGCATGAGCTGAATACCAGACCACTTGCCTAATGAATACAGTGGGTGGCTCTTCATGGAGTTGGGCAGTATCGGAAGACCTTCATGGGTGGGTGTCAGTCTGGAGAAAAGGTGCAATTACATACCGACCACCTTTGGTAATGGCCACTTATTATGCCGAGCCATGATGATTGAAAGAACTGAAATCTGTTGACTAAAATGGACGGGCTTGGGAGGAAAGGGATAGATGATGCAGCTTCTAATGCACATTGTGAGCTTCTCTTAGTTTGCGGTGAAATCAGAGCAGTTTCAGTACATGAGGAGCCGGTACAACTAGTCTGAGTCCAGCTCTAAGCACTTTCTTATTTTAAATAGCGCAGGTTTGTGAAAAGGTTTATTGCAAACTTTCCTGCACAATTTTTGTCACAGGAGCTTGGATTTTTTATGGCTGGGGCTATTTGTTGCAAAAAAAACAACCAGATTAATAGGTCTAATTATAGCTAAAATATTCAATTCCTATCTGTTGCTGAACATTGCAGTGTCTCATTCACTTGCAAGGGAAGGTGAATATAACTTGATACCTTTTTATCTTTTCAGGGCTACACATCCTTCTGGAATGACTGTATCTCTGCTGGGCTGCGTGGATGCATGCTAATTGAACTAGCCTTTCGAGGTAGAGTTACCCTGGAAGCTGGTGGAATGAGGCGTAAAAGTCTTTTGGCAAGGAAGGTAGGAAGGATTTTTCATTACAAGTGTATGCTCTTATGCAGTATTGGCACTAATGAAATCTATATTTTTCTTTTGTTTCCTAACGAGCTCTGAGAAAAGTGTTGTTTTTTTCCCCCATACGTTTTCCTAAATAACACCTTTTTTTATAGTGTAGTTAAAAATAGAAAATTAAATTTGATTTAAACATTGTCCAAATTCTGTAGCCATGTGTAATCTAGACCATGTCCCTTACAATTTACAGCTGGTGTCTAATTTTTGAGAGTTTCTCTATTCGCTGTCAATGGAAATGGATCTCAGAAAAGTCCTGGTGGCTCCTGAATTCTGTATTCATTTGTCCACCCCTGATATAATCTAAACCAGTGGTTCTCAACCTGTGTAACCTCAGGACCCACATTTTCCTTGTTCATTAGATCGCGACCCAAGTCTGCAATGTCTGCACGGCAATGGAACACACAGCATTCGGGTACTGTGCGTTCCGGTGCAGGCATACAGAGTGTGGGTGGGAGGTGGGTTTGGGGTACCACTTAAATGAATCGCAACGCACCTCCCAAACCAGAATGCACGGTAGGCGCAATTGCTTGGTACAGTGCGTAATATGCGCATAACACACTGTTCTAGTGTGAACGTGCACTTAAAATGCTGACATACGTACACATTTTCACACATACACACTGCCAAAAATGTTTTATTTTTTTTTAAGGTCCACCCAGTCTCCCTACCTTATGAGAACTGGAGTGTATCCTCAGCCCTGGGGTCCAGTGTGGGCTGCTGCACTGTTACAGAGCTCCATCCATGGGTGCATTGCTGATACAGCTCTCTTGTGCGGCCTGTAGAGGTGGCGGGAGCCAGAATGTGATGTCATTCAGGTCCAGGCACCAACAGGGCACGCGAGGGAGCTGTAAGCAATGCACATATGGATGGAGCGGCCATACCCCACCCCATCCCACCTGAAGCTGACACTCGTTGCCCGGCAGCATATTTTGAATGCCTGCTTGGAACAAGAACTGACAGTGCCTCGCTAGGGGGAGGCAAAGAAGCCTCCCCCAAGCCGCACTCACCAATTACTGTTGTTCACCTTATTACAGATTAACTATCCACACTTTTCAAAGAGATTCCTTTCTCTCCTTCCACACTCTGATGTCCAGTAGATTGGACTCCTTTTTTTGTTGTCCTTTTACACCTTCTCCATTTCTCATCTTCTTCTTTGTTGTACTCAAAAAGACAAAGATAGGCTCCCTATTGTACATTGTAAGTCTGTAATAGCCAGTTATGTGATTATAAGTTGATGACTTCTGAGTTATGTGACCTATATGATCCATGTATCTCTTCCAGACAGCACAGCCAGATTTTTAGCCTCAACTGCAGCTGCATTATGACTTGATCATTGGAAATAACAGCAGCATACTCTTGAGGTCATTCACAAATCAATTACACTGTCCCCGTGTCTGTAACTCTAAGTACACTGGTTGCTCATGAATCTAGTCCTGGAAACCGGGAAATCCTACCATACACTGATCTGGAGAATTCTCCCAACAGATACTAGCCTGAGAGGCAAGTGAGAAGTCCCAGACATCCTATTAGCAGGGAACTTGGTCGCTGGAGAAAGCTTATCTCACATTTCTTAAGGTGGCAGAGCAATTCAGGTATCCCTTTAACGGTTGATCTCTCTCTGTAATGCGAGGTCATCCAACCAGCAGTGGCTTCCATCAACCATCAGGGAGGATCCAGAAGTCTTGCAGCTCAAAGAGAAGCTGGCCAGATTTTGGCTTTGGTTGAACTTCACATTTCAGCCCTGTCTGACATGCACGTTCTAGGCATGGTAAATTGTCAATCAGACTTTCTAAGCTGACAATGTGTGGACTTGTCTCTTCACCCATAGGGGTTTCTAGACACATGTGGGCAATGCTGGACAAAGACCTCCTGATGTACAGCTTTAACAATATGCTGGGCACGTTTGTCTCCAGGTCTAGAGATCATCTTCCTTCTCTGAAGCTCCTGCAGGATTGAAACAGGGCTTTCCAGTAATTCTCTTCATACCAGGTTGACCAAGTTGACCAAGACTGATGTGGTACTTGGACCTCCTCATACTCATGGCAGATTCAATATGGGTTCTCCAAGATTGCCTGGGTCTGTTGTCCCAAGGACTTGGACTATCTGGCTTTAAGTCATGGTTGTTGAAATCCAGGTCCCAAGAGAAAGAGATCTGTCCGATTTAGATTATTCCAATGGTCCTTGAAGTTAGGAAATCCTTCTCTTGCAAGCTCTATCATAGCACTGATAAATCATACTTCAGATGATGCAAGTTAAGGAAACTCCATCCCAATACTCCGTGGGACTCATCCTGTCCTTTCTCCAGTCAAGTCTGGCCTTGGGTACTATCAAGGGTCAAATCTGAAGGTCCTCCTGAGACCTAGGTTCTCTTTTCTCCCCAAGGTGATTTCTCTCATTCACCTTCCCACAGAGAGATGCTTTAGTCATGTTGCAGTTCCAGATTTGACTGCAAAGTTGTGCTGCAAGTGAAATTCGATTGCACTGATGAAATAAAGGGCCCAAAACTATTGTGTTATTTGGAGGGAGTTTTTGAAGATCACTTTTTAGGGAACTCTGTTGTCCTTGAATATTGTTGGCTGTACTTGGCTGTTTTACGGCGGTTAACAAAATATATCTTCATTTTCATAGGTTATTTGCAAATCTGATGCTCCAACAGGGGATGTCATGCTAGATGAAGCCTTAAAACACATAAAGGAAACACCGACCCCAGAGACTGTACAGAGTTGGATTGAACTTCTAAGTGGTATGTTTGTGAACTCAGCCATAGGTGTTAAATGAATGTCTGCAACATATTAGTGCAGTTGTGTGATTCTAATTAGAATTTTAAGTGGGCCTAGTGTTGGGTACATGGACATGGTGTGAGCAAGCCCTTGGAGATATGAGGGGGTATAATTCCAAATAGTAAAGCGATCCGTGCTTCCAAGCTCCCACCGTGTAAAAAGTCTCTAGCCGCCGTGAACAAGCCCTTAGAGATATGTGGAGATCAAGTCTGTCCCTGTTGATTAGGAAAATCAAGGCCATGCCTGCTGATTAGGGAACAATTGGACTGTTTCCTAATACCACCAGCACCACACGTGCACAATTTTTTATTCCCCCCTTCGGTGCAGCCATAATAATGTAAAACTGGCAGGGATAGGCTTTAGCCCAAGGAGTCTTTGTCGTTTCTTTTGGGCTGTAAAAGGAATGTTATGGGACAGCCCTGGAATTTGTTAGCTCCATCTTACATATATTTCTTCATTCTATTTCAGGTGAGACCTGGAACCCTCTGAAGCTCCACTTCCAGTTACGAAATGTGCGGGAACGCTTGGCTAAAAATCTTGTGGAAAAGGGCGTCCTGACAACGGAGAAGCAAAACTTCCTCCTGTTTGACATGACCACGCACCCACTCACCAACAACAACATCAAGCAGCGCCTCATCAAGAAGGTGCAGGAGGCTGTGCTGGACAAGTGGGTGAAGGATCCCAATCGCATGGAGAAACGTTTGCTGGCCCTCATCTATTTAGCCCATTCTTCTGACGTCATCGAGAACGCCTTCGCCCCACTCTTGGACGACCAGTACGAGCTGGCCATGAAGAGAGTCCGGCAGCTGCTCGATCTAGACCCAGAAGTAGAGGCCTCAAAGCCAAACGCTAATGAAATCCTATGGGCCGTGGTGTCCACCTTCACAAAATAATCCCTGTGGACTTGGAGTGTTCATTCTACGTCAAACCAGTTGTCTCTGCTTGACATTTTTTTTTTTTCCAGTAATTTTACCTTTGCTTGTTTTGACTGGTCACAGAAAGACATTGAATTGTATGCAGGACCCGGGCTGGTTCAAGACAGCTGGATAAGAGATTTCAGAAACTTATTGCCATATTGGCATCACACTACTCCTTACATTTGTGCATCTCAAAGCTCCGGTGCAAGGTTCCTTAGAAGGCCGAGTTCAGTTGTGATGGAGATGGACACGCCTAGATGCACATTGGTTATTGTCCGCCTCAAGTTCCTCTACAGATCCCCCCCCAAGATGGTTTACAAATCCGCAGAATTGTCACGAAAGGGCCTTTTAGTCACCAAAGTTCCAATAGCTCTGTCCATTTCTCCACGTTTTACACACTTTTCACCTTTTTTCATTTTATTTTTAAGCTGCTGTGCTAATGCTTTTTTTTTCTTGTAAATTTGTCATAATCAGAATTTTAAATCTTTAAGTATTTAGTGTAAATGGTCCAAAGGTCTCTGGAAGCCATTTTTGGGATGGGGAAAACATTCCATTAGTGTACATAGTTCCAGTTGTATAGTTGAACTTCCTAAGTATTTTGGTCATATATCCGACGTCAGACCCAGTCTCCGATACATTTCAGGCTCTGCTTTTCTCAGGGCTAAAAGTGAGAACATACAGTGAACTGTGACACACATTTGTTGTGGCACATGTATCATGATTTTTAAATGTTTGGCATGTACCAGTGGCTCAGTTGTCCTCCATTGTTCTGTTTTTATGTGCATTTTTTTGCAATTTTTGGGTTATTATTTATCTAAAAGGATCAATCCACCCATTACTGATATTTCAGATTTCATTGGATGCTGCAGGGCTTGGTCACCCGCTGACTTTTTTGTTTGCACCCATTGAGAATTCTTGGCATGAGTTCCACATGATTGTCACAAGAAATGGGGATTTCACTCCTTTTAGGTTACAGAGAATGCAGCAGAAAGGGAATCTACCTCTGCATCAGGAGGAGTGAGACTGGGTGGCAGTGTGGGCTAATATTAATAATGTGATAATTAGTGATGCACCAATACTGGTATTTTCGGTATGGAGTAAGAGTACTGATATTTTTTTTTCCCCGGTACTCGCCGATCTCAAATACTGAGTGCCGGAAGTCCCATTCAGGAAGCCAGGCGGCGTGTAATGACTCGCCACCTGGCTTCCTGATTAGCAGGGAAGCCGTCCCCATGCTTCTCGTCACTGGGTGACGAGAAAGCATGGTGCCGGCTTTCTGGCCAATCAGGAAGCCGGGTGCCGCGTTATTACACAGCGCCAGGTTTCCTGATTGGTCAGCTTCCGACCAATCAAGAAGCCAGGCAGCACGTCTTTATACGCTGCCCGGCTCCCTTATTGGCTGGGAAGCCGGCTCTATGCTCCCTCGTCAAGTGACGAGAGAGCATGGCGCCGGCTTCCCTGCCAATTAGGGAGCCGGGCAGCGTGTAAAGACGTGCTGCACGGCTTTCTGATACCGGAAGTATCGCGATGGGCATCAGAGTATGAGTTCTCGCCCAAATACTCTGCATCGGCACCGATACTAGTATTGGTGCATCCCTAATAATAATAATAATGGCCAGAGAAGCAAACATTGCAGTGTTGCCGTAGTTTGGTGGTCCACAAAGTGCCCGGTTTCATTATTGGTCAGCGGAGAGAGGCCCCTTCACACTGGTGCTCAGTGGGTAGAATTTCTAATTGATGGGTAGAGCTTGCTAATTGCTCCAGGAACCCCTAGCAAGCTCTGGAGGAACACCGGATGAGAAAGGCTGTCATATATTATAGACATAAAGCACAGACATTGGGATGGCTCCTATGTTTGGAGATACCATGATGTTGGTGGGGCGGGGGATCCAGCAACAAAATGTTACCACTGCAGTCCCTGAGGGATATAAGAGGTCAGAATACAGTTTAACCCATCAAGAGTCTACCCGTACAGGGAAATATCAGTTTTTGGTGCAGTGACCCTTTAACTTGTTACACATAGGTCAGTGCTTTACCCCGATACTGTCTTTTCTATAGGATTAAATGCAATCAAGACTGTCAGTCTAAAACAACAGTTGCATGAGCACATTTGCAGCTTACAGGTTTTCTGCAACAAAAAACAAAACCAGAAAACGCTAATTTCCTTATTTTTCCTTTTCCTTTTTTTTTAAATAATAATGTATGTAAAATGATGTGGCTTAGCACAATGTTTGAGCGCCGTTTGCTTGTCACATTGCTTCCATAGTTGGTCATAGAACGGATCGATGCTTCATGGGCCGTCTCATCTCCTGCTGCAAGCGGGGCCCTGTGCACACAGCGGTGATAGGAGCAGCGCGGGAAGGGGGCGCATCTTGTTATCGGTGGAGCGGTAAATGAAAGCGACAGAAATGAGGTGGTAACAGTTGTTGCAGTTATCAGATTCCCTCTGTATACTAGCTTTTTATTATACAGTAAATAAACTATGATCTTTAAAGTGCCTGAAAATAAAGGTGGTCACGACATTTTTCTTCTGCCAAGATGGTTTTCATAATGAATCTGGGGAGCAGTGTTTTGGCTTGCAGGAAAAAGGTATATTTTCATTTGTTGTCACACTGACCTAACGAAAGTCATTTGTTACCAAAATGTTACATTTTTACATGCTTGGGTATTCTATATTTTGTTTAACATGTTACACCCCCTTCATTACCCAGTCATTTTTTTCAGCGCTGTGCAAGTTTTGGTGAGAATTCCTCAGTCACACAACAGTGTAACAAAATTGATTTTATATCATTTTTGGGGGGACAAATATAGCTTTCATTTAGTGGTATTTAATAACCGCTTTTTTTATTGTTTTATAATATAAAGTAAAAAAAACAAACAATGTAAAGCTTGTTTCTCCTACTTTTTGTTTATAAATCATAGCCGATAAAGTCATGACGGTACAAAAATTCTTTTTGGAAAAATAGACACTCCAAGGAAATCTTCTTTTTTTTTTTTTTTGCCGTAAATTTTGGAGCTGAAGAAACATGCCGGTATTAAGAGGGTTAAAACATTGATCTTCGAAATAGTGCACAATATACAATAAATGTACAGGTCAGAGGGAGTGATGGGGTTAATGTATACACGTGCGTGATAAGGGAGGTGAAAGGGTTAATATACCGGCCAGAGCATAGATGGTATAGATCTAACATGGTGGTGGGGGGTTAAAGGGTTAATATTAGAGGTGCACCAAACTTTAAATTTCAATAATATTGGGGGTCTAAACAGACCCCTGCTATTTCCCTTTTAATATAGAAATAGAGATTGAGAACACAGAGTCCTCAATCTTTTTCTGCAGCCCCAGTACTCCATGAACTGGAATCCTCTATACTGAGCAGAGGTGTGGAAATTTTAGTCCAAGGGCTAAAGCGGGGGCCAAATCTGCTTGTCCTTCATGACAATCAACTTGTCGCAATACAAAAAAAATAGTTTTAATCAAAACTAGGGATGCACCAATACCGGTTTTTCGGTATCAAGTAAGAGTACCGATTTTTTTGCTTTCGGATCTCGCCGACACTGAATACCAATACCGGTGCTTCCGCTGGCATGGAGCAGGCTTCTCGGGTAATCAGGAAGCCGGCCAGCAGGTAATGACATCCCGCCCAGGTTCCTGATTGCCACGGAAGCTGGCTCCATGTTGTTTGGCCTGCTTGATTGTGATTGGCCGGGAAACCTGCTTCCCAGTCAATCGGGAAGCCGGGTGGCGAGTAATGACCTGATTGACTGGGAAACTGGCTCGATGCTGATTGGCCAGGAAGCCAGCTCTCCAGCCAATCAGCAAGGAGCAGGCTTCCCGGCCAATCAGAAAACCAGGAGGCGTGTCATTACTTGCCGCACGGCTTCCTGATTGCACAGGAAGCTGGCTCCATGTTCCCAGTAGTAGTTTGCGCACATGTTCTTCACCCCCATGTGCATAACCTCTATATTTTTCAACATTAAATGGCACTTGCCATCTTGTAGCCCATGCCTCAGTTTTGCTTAGGTCTTGTTGTAGTGCCAATATCTCCTGTTCGGAATTTACTGCTCTGCAGAGTTTAGTATCATCCGCAAACACCCAAATTGAGTTATTTAGTCCAATCTCTATGTCATGGATGAATAAGATGAACAGGATCAGTCCCAGGACTGAACCCTGGGGCACCCCACTCCCAACCTTTGCCCAATTAGAGAATGACCCATTTATCACTACCCTTTGGGTCCGTTCTTGCAGCCAGTGTTCCAGCCCTGTACATACAATTTCATCTAGACCTATAGACCTTAGTTTATGGATAAAAGGTTTGTGGGGTACTGTGTGGAATGCTTTAGCAAAGTGGCTGTACACAAGTAGTAGCATAGGTCTGCGTACAGCTATTGACTTTTATGGGGGGCTGTTTGCAGCACCTGTGGTTCCTTGGTGGGGGAAAATACACCCAGATTTATGTTGTACGGAGTCGTGGCCCGTGTGCACGAGTCCTTAGTTATCATTGGCAATCTTGCTGTAGCATGCACATTGACCACAAGGTGGCAGTATAGTTCTACTGCTGCCATATCAGAAACTTTTGTCCGTAAGGAAAAGGCAAGAATCTCAGTCCACATGGACCTCCTGGCCAACAATTACTCAGGCTTCTCTCCCTTTTGCCTCAGGCATGAACTCACTTTTAAATGATTAACTTGCAGCGGTCAACCTTCCTCAAGGACCGAAGTGGAGTTTTTAACATTTTGGAAACACCCTACTGGGCTCAACATAACTCCCTCCAGGTTGACCCTTATGCTTATCTCTTTCTCTCTCTATGTAGGATTGGAGTTCAGACTTTCCAGAATCGTTTTTTTTTTTCTTGCTCCACGTGTGTGACTTACCAACTGATGAATGATGACAGCTCACGCTAGGGTGTATCTGTTGGCTTTTCCACCCTAAGCCACATAAGGTTTCCTGTGTGCGATGGATATGAGATACACTTGTGCTCATAAGTTTACATCCCCTGGCAGAATGTATGATTTCCTGGCCAGTTCTCAGAGAATATGAATGATAACACGAAAACCTTTCTGTCACTCATGGGTAGTGTTTGGCTGAAGCCATTTATTATCAATCAACTGTGTTTACTCTTTTCCAATCATAATGACAACAGAAACTATCCTTTGGGAATCGGAGTCCATGATATTTCCTCCACTCCGTGCACCTTCCCCCAACATTTCCCTTGAGATTGATAACACAACTATCCATCCCTCCCCACTTGCCAAGGTGCTAGGTGTCATCCTTGACTCGGACCTCACCTTTCTTCCCCACATCAAATCACTATCCAAATCCTGCCGCCTTCACCTTCGTAACATCTCCAAAATACGCCCCTTCCTCACTAATGAAACCGCAAAATTACTCATCCACTCGCTTGTTATCTCACGTCCTGACTATTGCAGCTCCCTGCGCATTGGCCTTCCACTACACAGGCTCCTCCCCCCTTCAGTCTATCATGAATTCTGCTGCTAGACTCATCCACCTAACCAACCACTCAGTGTCTGCAACCTCCCTCTGCCAATCCCTCCACTGGCTTCCAAGGATAAAATTCAAAATATTAACGACTTATAAAGCCATCCACAACTCTGCCCCCGGCTATATCTCCAACCTGGTCTCAAAGTATCACCCTAACCGTCCCCTCCGCTCTTCCAAAGACCTCCTGCTTTCCAGCTCCCTCATCAACTCCTCCCATGCTCACTTCCGGGACTTCTCTAGAGTCTCTCCCATCCTATGGAACTCTTTACTCCAACCTGTCCGTCTATCTCCCAAT